ATTTGTTTAATAAATTATGCCTTTAACAAGCTCCCTCACATGCATTTGTCTAGTGCCTGCTGTGATATACAATATCAAATTATATGATTATTTCGTTTAAAAACTTAAATTGTAAAGAAAGAGACTTATAATATACAACGCCAAATTAAATAAAAGATACGTTGACGTACAACAAATATAAAAGAGAATGAAGCAAGATAATTATAATATACAACACAAATTAAATAAGCCACGCTTATTTTATTTATTATCTTGAAATAGTAGAGTAAATGAAGAGTACACTATACAACACCAGTACTCTATTTATTAATTCTTGGAGCAGCTTATTCTAAATCTTCCATAATATATAGTCCCATAGAACTATTTAATTAACCCATTGTGGGAGTAATTTGAACAATGAGTTTCCAGTTAACAACCACAAAAACTCGACCACAAACATAATTCAATGGTTTAACCATACCAGGGAACAAAAACTGAACTTTGGCTATGGGATTTTCTTTCTCAATTATTTTCTTAGCAGTCTCCGCTGGCTTCCCCACAAGTTCAGGCCATGATTGCTTTCCTATAGTTAAAAATATATAACGGCAAAGGGTCAAATATACTTCTCTATTTTCAAAAATGGTGTAACAATACTCATCGTTATATTATTGGACTATTTATACCCCTGCAGTTATAATTTGGGTTCAAATATACCTCTCATTTAAACGGAGGGACACGTGTCATCGCCCTGTTGGTCAATTCTAAGTATCTCCTAATTAATTAAAAATACTCATTACCCATATCCGAAAAATAATTTTTTTTTTTTTTGTAAAAACTGAAAAAAACTAAAAAATATTTTTACTAAAAACTGAAAAAAACGAAAATATTTTTTTTGGCTTTAAAAAAACTGAAAAATATTTTCTAAAATAATATTTTTGTAAAAACTGAAAAATAAAACTGAAAAATAATTTTCTAAAGCAATTAAAAACTGGAAAAAACTGAAATATTTTTAACTAAAAACTCAAAAAAGTAAATATTTATTTTTTCAGTTTTTACAAAAAATCGCATTAGAAAAAACTGAAAAATATTTTCTAAAATAATATTTTTGTAAAAACTGAAAAATAAAACTGAAAAATAATTTTCTAAAGCAATTAAAAACTGGAAAAAACTGAAATATTTTTAACTAAAAACTCAAAAAAGTAAATATTTATTTTTTCAGTTTTTACAAAAAATATTGTTTTAGAAAATTGCTTTTTAGTTTTTTTTTTCAGTTTTTACAAAAATATTATTTTAGAAAATATTTTTCAGTTTTTTCTAAAGCGATTTTTTGTAAAAACTGAAAAAAAGAAATTCGTTTTTTAGTTTTTAGTAAAAATAATTTCAGTTTTTACAAAAAATAATTGCTTTAAAAAATTATTTTTTGGGTATGTATAATGAGTCTTTTAATTAATTAGGAGATATTTAGAATTGACCAATAGGACGATGACACGTGTCCCTCCGTTTAAATGAGGGGTATATTTGAACCCAATGTATAACTGCAGGGGTATAGATAACCCAATAGTATAAAGAAGAGTATTTTTAAACCATTTTCGAAAGTAGATGAGTATATTTGGCCCTTGCCGAATATATAATGAAACAAAAGAAAAAAGAATATATAGTACATGACACTATAATAATACTTATAAAAATCTATTATANCCCCCCAAAAAAAAAAACATAAACTACTCTTTTCCCTAGCTCATGTTTTATTTTAAAATATTATTAAGAGAGTTTACGTGGTACTAACAGATGAAAATAATTATTGAACAATCAACTCACTTGTAAAATAAATACAAGTAAATCTCTATATATAATAAACATTAATAAGAGTCAACCTATTAAAATTGATAACTAACTTTCTATCACATGTTAAACTACATTGATAATAAAAAAAATCTTTCACTATAAGTATATATAATTTAAATCCTTACTAATAACTTTAGAAAATACAATAGCTTTGAAACTAGGAAATACTATTATTTGTATTTACATATTATTGGAACGAGATGAGTTTAATTAATTAGTGTAACATTGTGATTCATACAATCGACATTAGGTTATTTGAGACCAAAAATTAGTTATTGTTGTTATTTGTAACTAAAAGAAGAAGAAAGAGTAGAGAGCAAACCTGGGCAAAAAAAGGGTTTAGAGACATCATCAAGTGTTTTCACTTGGTTTTCTTTTGCCATTGGAAATCGCAAGACATCTATTTCATCACTCACTTCGAATACCAGATCTCGTGCCGTAAGAGGTTGAAAAACTGTAATTCAAATTAATAAATAATTCACAAAAATAATTACTACTACTTATTTGAGAGATAATATAGGTAATAAGTTCTGTTTTTGAATATTTGAAATAAATATTTAAATAAAAATAAGTAGAAATGAGCGTGAGAAAAGGCTAACTTACGTGATGCAAGAAGCAAGAAAGCAACCACATGAGATAACTTGACCATAGTCTTCCCCTCCATTGCCTTTGCTTTGAAAAATACAAAGAAAGAAAGTCCAAATTGTTTTGTGTCAAAACTCACTGATTCCACAGGTTATTTATAGTGAGTTAGTACCTCATTTACGTGAGTTATTTATTCTTTCAACCACCACTGTACAGGGGCTGAGGCAAGAAACCTAGTTATTGGTTTGGTCCAACTCAGTAACTTTTACTCAAACATTATATTTGGTATTAAGAAATTCATTCAACATGTATCAATATTTAGTGTAGAACCCAGTTATTGTTAACACTTGAAGTCGTCATTCTAAGTAGGCATTTGAACATAAAAATTATAATTTTTGAAAGAAAGTAGTATTTGTAGTTAAGGTGAAAAATAGCATTAGTAATTTAAAATTAGGGTTGGATATGCATTTCACTTGAAACAATATTGCAGTTTTATGAGTTGGGAATTTCTTTTTTGAAATTTTTGAAATTTTTGTTTTTGAAAAACTCATTTTTGAAAAATCTCCAAAAACTTGTAAAATTTCATGGACAAATATATTTTTGAAAAAACAAATCTGAAAAAAAGAAAAAAATACTATGGACAAACTGTAAACGGGTCCCAGAACCTATAAGGCTGAAATCCTAGTTTCATTTCTACACCGCTTTTTTATTGTTTGTAAATACACGTTTTTATCAACAGCCACCGTACACTTTTTTTTGTTGGTTGGTAAATACACGTTTTTATCACTTTTTAAAGGCTTTGGCCACCACACATTTGCTCCATAAAGATATATCCACTGCATTAGAAAATAAAGAAAAAGACAGAAGGAAAAATAATACTTACTTAGTGGGTGTTAGGAGAAAAAATAATTTATAAGTGAAAATAGTATTTAAAATTTAGAGTTAGTGTTTGGACATAAATATAATTTTGGGTTATTTTGAAGTTTTGTGAGTGATTTGAGTGAAAATTTTGAAAAATAACTTTTTGGAATTTTTCAAATTTTCAAAAAATTTCAAAATGCATCTTCAAGTGAAAATTAAAAATTTTATGGACAAACGCTGATTTCGAAAAAAAACAATTTGGAAAAAGGGGAAAAAACTTATATGCCCAAACGGGCTCTTAGTATAATAGAAAAATAGAAAAGTGATACTATCAAAAGTAAAAGAGCTATGGTCCCCTATAAAATGTTTTTATTCATCAATTATTTTGTCTTTATTAAGAACACATTACAAATGTGGTTTAATATATACTTGATAGTGATAAGTCCTTATATGCCCTTCAATTACTGAGTTGCGTTTGTATCCAACTATATTTTTGATAATATTGGACATTTTATTAGTGATATCTTACATGAGAAGTGTAAAAACTGACCGATAATTTCAAGTTTTTTGTTGTTTGCTAAACCAGAGAACATTTATAATTGGCACAAAGTTATAAGCTAGTTTGGTTGAAAGAAAAAAAAAGTATGGTTGATAGAAACTAAGAGTGTACATCTGTTCCCACAGAACACACACACAACAGTAAGTAAATGACACAGTAAAATTTTAAGTGGAAAATTTTCAGCTCACGGGATTAAAAACCACGACTTACCCTTGTAGGATTTCAACTTCACTACTGAGCCAACTTTAGATTACAACCTATTGTAACCTAGGAATTAACTTCTTAATTCCTTACTAACTTGTAACAACTCTATTACAAAGACTTACAACTCGACTAAACCTAGCCAAGACACAAACACAGAGTTTATGATTTAACAAAACTTTCCTACGCAATTGCTTCTAACTAAGCTAAGTAGGAATTACAAGTAAGAAGCTTTAACAAAGGTGCGACACAACTAAGGACATGTGATGACTCAATGCAGGGAACTAATCCTTGTTATATAGTTCTTTGTTCTTGAAGCACTTGAGAATCGATTGCTGGATTGATGCACAAACTTGAAAGAAAGCTGGATTGATTCTTTAAAATGTTCAAATGATGTTTTATCTTTGGCTTAATATTAATATAATATTGGTAATATCACTTGAATGATACAAACATGTTTGGTACAGGAGCATTCCCAATGAAGTTGACTGCTGCACTGTTTTGCATTGTTGCGTGTGCAGGCAGCAACTTTACATCTGTTGGGAAGTTGATTGGTACAGTCACCAAGGGAACTGATGTTCATTTGTTCCCTCTGTTGTTTCTCTGACTCTGAAGAGCTGAACTATATCTCCGACTTTGAAACTTGTTGATCTTAAGTAAAAGAGTTATGGTCCCCTATCAAGATGTTTTTATTCATCAATTATTTTGTCTTTATTAAGAACACATTACAAATGTGGTTTAGTATGCTTGATAGTGATAACTCCTTATATGCCCTTCAAATATTGAGTTGCGTTTGTATCCAACTATATTTTTTATAATATAGGACATTTTATTAGTGATATCTTACATGAGAAGTGTAAAAACTGACCGATAATGTCACGACCCAAAATCCTAATCTGTCGTGATGGCACCTAACGTGGTACTAGGCAAGCCGACATTTCAAATTATTTCCAACACTTTTAACCGAAAATGAGTTAAAGCAGTTTAAATAATAAAAAGTTCTCATAAACAGGATAGAAACCCAAAACTCAACGCGCAAGTTCCCAAATATTGGGATGTCACAGAATACATGAGCATCTATACATCATAAGTCTGGAAAATATTGTCTATGATAGTCTGAAACTAAATAGAATAAGCGGAAAGATAGGAAAGGAGAGACAAGGTATGCGAACGCCGGGCAACTACCTTGGAATCTCCAACGATCGAGTTGCGCAAAGAAAATCAACATCCACCGTGTCCAAAAATACCTGGATCTGCACACAAAATGCAGGATGTAGCGTGAGTACAACCAACTCAATAAGGAACAAGACTAAATAAAAGACTGAAAGTAGTGACGAGCTTCACAAGTAAAGTTTAATTACAGTAATTTCAACATAGGAAGGTAGGCATGCTTTCAAGTTCGACAATTAAGGCCAAAACAGTTAATTCATGTCAAGTTCAAGTAAAACAAAATATAACATCTTTCAGAAATTGCAAGACGATGATATATGACAGCTGAAGTGAAACAGTAATGAAGGCAAATGCATCCTCTCAGAGCATCAGTCACTCAGTTCTCCCATTCACTCCAACCTCACGATCACTCCAACCTCACAGTCACTCATTCCTCTCAGTCGCTCGACACTCGCACTCAGTAGGTACATGCGCTCACTGGGGGTGTGTACAGATTTCGGAGGGGCTCCTTCAGCCCAAGCGCTATAACAAGCCAATCACTGCATAAATCAATGAAACATGTTGCGACATGCAACCCGATCCTATAAATATCCTCACAATCAGGCCCTCGGCCTCACTCAGTCATCAACCTCTCCAGTCTCTCGGGCTCTCAATAATCATAATAATCAGCCCAACAGAAATGATATAATGTAGCAAAAAAGAACAAATAAAGACTGAGATATAATATGCAAGAAAAACTATGACTGAGTACAAAACAACAACTTAGCAAATAATCAACATATACACGACCTTTGTGGGTCCCTACAGTGCCAACACATAGTCTAAACATGATTTCTAATATGATTTGCAGTTCAATTTCTATAACACATGGAGAATGTACGGATAACAACAGATTCTTTAACTATACAGTTCCATGGAAGTTGATCAAGTCATAATCCCTACGGTGCACGCCCACACGCCCGTCACCTAGCATGTGTGTCACCTCAAAACCAATCATATGGCACATAATACGAGGTTTCATAGCCTCAGAACCAAATTTAGAATTGTTACTTACCTCAAATCGCGCAAATCTCTATTCCAACATACCCTTGCCTCGCGAATCGGCCTCCAAATATCCCGAATCTAGCCACAAACAGTACGATACAATCAACACGAGCTAAAGAAAACAATTCCATAAGGAAATACAAAGTTATAAATCAAAAGTCAAAAATCGGCTCACAAGCTGGCTCCCGGGCCCACGTCTCGTAATCCGATAAAAGTCGCAAAACCCGAAAGCCCATTCAACCACGAGTCCAACCATACCAAATTTACCAAAATCCAACACCAAATTGCCACTCAAATTCCCAAATCAAACTTTCCAAATCCCTAGCCTCAAACTCCCAAATTCCACCTTAAATACACACAAACTAGGTAGGAAATTCCATGGGGAAACAAGATTATTGATTAAAAATGAGCACAAAAGACTTACCTCAAGAAAGCCCTCGAAAATCCTCTAAAACATCGCCAATTCCCGAGCTTGAAATGTTCAAAATGAAGAAAAATACGAAACCCTCGTTTTTAAAACACTGCCCAGGCCTTCTCGCACCTCCGGCCACTTACCTGCTTCTGCGGTGTCGCAGGAGCGACCCATCGCCCGCTTCTGCAGTTTCCTCCGCACCTGCGGCCCACGGTTTCGCTCCTGCGGACTCGCTTTTGCGAGCCACAAAGCCGCTTGTGCGGACCCAGCTCTCATCTCCATTTCCGCTTCTACGCTCCCATCACCGCATATGCGGTCATGCAGGTGCGGGAATTCCCGCGCACCTGCGACCACTGCACACTCCCCTCCAAAATCGCATATGCACAACACAACACACACCTGCGAGCTCCACATGCGATCAAATCTCCGCAGGTGTGATTACACCAGTAGACTCCCAGCTTCAGCAATGCACTAAGTCTAAATTTCGATCCGTTAACCATCCGAAATCAACCCGACGCCCCCAGGACCTCAACCAAACACACCAACAAGTCCTAAAATACATTGCGAACTTAGTCGAGCCTTCAAATGACATCAAACAACATCAAAAACCAATTCAAGCCAAACACACCCTAGAACTACAATAAATAAATGTTAAGTGGGCAAGCCTTTCAACGCATTAAATCTGGATAGGCACTGAAGAAGTAATGCATTTTAGAGAAATTGATCCTTGGATTGTCTGAGTATATTTCATAAGTTACAGATCTGGAGGTCACTATATTCAGAAGAGTAATAGGAACAAAAATAAAGCAATTACAAGCGCACAGAGAAAAATCGATAAAATGGAAAATCAACTATGAACCAAGATGGATCTAGGCGCATAAACTTTAGTACCAGATCAACAACCTACATAATTAAAGCGAGAGCAATTGAAACATCATATATTTTTTAAGGGATTGAATCAATGTGGTGTGGAAGTACATAAAACTACCAAATAGAACTGGAAAACTGAAGGGGAAAAAAGTGAATGGAAAAAAAAGGAAATTTAGCCACAAATAATCTTTAAGGTAAGAGAAACTATTTTTGAAAGATTCCAATTGAACTTTTATCCAGAAGACCAAGTATACCACCCCTTGAGCATTAATAGAAACAAATTCCTAAAAATACACATAAGTTTGTGCATTTCTGGTAGCGGAAAGAACAATGATCTATCTACTGATAACATAATGATTCGGGGAGTGAGAGCTAATACACACCTACTCACATGAACTCATTTATAAGAAGATTTTCAAATTCACACACGATTATGATATCCAGACTCCTAGATAAGTAGATCATATGGAAGTTTCACGAAAGAAGAAAAGGGTTTTCTTTTGCAGAGACTCTAATAATAAAGGTCATCAACAGATAGAGTCATAACCTCACTGCTCCAAGCAAAGCAAGAGAAATGTGGCTTACAAGCACATTTTGATAGGCTTCCTATACTATTAACCAAATAAATTTAAACATGGCAGGAAAAACTTCATGAAATCATTTACACTAATTATCTGAGAAGAAACTATCACAGCACAGAACAAGAAGTCACATACTTGTAAAAATAGCCAGGCTAAATCCCAATTAATAATACAATGGAGTGACATAGGAGATAATATGCAAATAAACCTTCCTCTTTCCCAACCCATTATGCAGAACACATTGGCCAATTACTACCTTCACTTACAAAAAAAAGTATTGCGAAAATCAAGTAGAAAATCACTGACCTCAAAGAGTTTTCGCCGTCAGCCAGAAAAAAGAATTCAATTCCCAAGCTGCATCATAGGAGAGAGCAACTCCTGCAAGTCAAAGAATCAATGATCCCTACTTCATGAACAATGTACTGATTAAGAAACCATATGATTGATAAAGATGAACCAGATAGGATAGGTTACCATATCATAATTAGCAAAGCCGAATATCTTGCATGACTTTTGTGTTATCATTCAGGATCACTAATCTGCTTGAAAAATCTGAGCACTCCTTCTCATTTAATAATCTTTACATGTAAAATAGACCAGATTAATGGACTGTCTAGTTATCAAACTATTGTACAAACAAGAGTAGAAGATTAATATTAGCGACCCCCAATAGAACTGTCACGACCCAAAATCCACTGTAGATCGTGATGGCGCCTAACGCCGCCGTCAGGCAAGCCAACAGTAATGTACTAATTCAATTACCCATCTTTATTACCTATGAAATCAAAATTTCCATTAACTAATTAGTATAAAATAAGATTTACAGAGTGAAACAATGATGGTTATGTGAACTACCGTACCAAACATCCAGTAGGAACCCCCAAAACCCGGTGTCACAAGTGCATGAGCATCAACTAGGAAAAACATGATAAATGCAACATCTGTCTAGAATACAAATTAGATAGAAGTATATAAATAACTTTGATGGAGACTCTGTAGCTGCGAATTCGTAGCACGGGATGCAGCTCACCGAAAGTTCCCGCGATAGTTGCGCCTCTGCGCCCAAAAGATCACTAGACATACATGTACCTGCACAAAAATGTGCAGCAAGTGTAGTATGAGTACGTAAACAATGTGTACCCAGTAAGTATCAAGTTTAATCTCGAACAAGTAGTGACAAGAGGGTGACTTTGACACTCACTATGGGTCAATAATATTAAAATAGAAATATTTAAATAGACATAGTTTAGGTGAATAACAATAATTTTTCAATTAATCAATTATCTTCACAAGCTGCAATAAAATGTCAAGGCATCGTGTAATTTTCATTATTAAGCACGATTTATGCCGATGTCGTTCGGCCTGATCCAGAGTGTCGTGTACATTGCCGAGGGACGTGCGGCACAATCCATAGATGCATCTATATTGCCGAAGTGTTCGGCCCGATCCACAAGAGGACATTTTTTTATGAACCTTCGGAATGAGAAGTTATCGCAAGGCTAACACATAAGGATGTACAATTTCTATTAACGGTCAAGTAATTTGCACAAAAAATTCAAGTATGTGAAATTTCAGTCTTTTACTATTTCCTCTAACAATTTCTACTATAATTCCAGTGCTTTAATTAATAAAGGATGCAATCATTACAAGTAATTCATGATTTGAGTCCTAAACTACCCGGACATAGCATAATTAGTAGCTACGCACGGATTCTCGTCACCTTGTGCGTACGTAGCCCCCTCAATTAGCAACAATTATTAATCTAAATCACCTATAGGGTAAATTCCCTCTTACAAGGTTAGACAAGAGACTTACCTCGCTCCAAAGCTCCATAGTCGGCTCCAACGCCACTCTAACACCTCAAACCGATGGTTGTCGATCCAAAACTATGCAAACAAGGTGCAAACCAATCAAAATGCGTTATAATACCCATAATTAATCAATATAAAAAATTTTCAACTCCGCTCGAAAAGTCGATAAAATCAACTCTCGGGCCCACGTGCCCGGATTCCGAAACTTTTCGAAGATAAACTTTACCCATAACATCACGAACTCAAATATATGATTTATTCCTAATTTCATGTCCGATTTCGTGGTCAAAATCCAAAAATACCAAATTCTAGGTTTTTCTTCAAAATCCCAAATTTCTACATATTTTCATGCTTGAATCCATATAAAATCCTTGTATTTAACTCACAATAGGTGGGGATAACTTACCTTGCCATTGATGATGAAAACCTCCACTTGAAGCTCTCCAAGAATCGCCCCAAACCAAGAGAGAATGAAAGAAATGGACCAAATCTCGTCTTAAAAACAACTCACTGCCCAGCCCCGGCCTTCGCACTTGCGGTCCTTTTGCCGCTTCTGCGAAGGATTACTCGCAGGTGCGGCTCTCCCCCAAGGCCAGCTCCTTCGCTTCTGCGCTCCTTCACCGCAGGTGCGCATCTGCTTCAGCGAAAAATCTTCCGCACATGCTGACTTCCAGTCCTCACTCTCTTCCGCTTCTGCGGGATCGCACCTGCGGCCCTTTTCACGCAGGTGCGGTTACACCAGATACCAGCTGCCTCAGCATTCCCTTAATCCAAAAATTGATTGCAGGGCAGAGCTTTTAGTTTTTTCATGTTGTCAAAGAGTTGAACAATGGTTTTTTCGTGTTGTCCGTTAACCATCCGGAACCACCCCGAGGCCCTCGGGATCTCAACCAAACCTACCAACAAGTCCTAAAACACAATACGAACCTGCTCGAGGCCTCAAATCACATCAAACAACATCAAAACCTCGAATCGCACTCCAATTCAAGCTTAATGAACCTTAGAACTTCAAACTTCTACATTCGACGCCGAAACCTATCAAATCAAGTCTGATTGACCTTAAATTTTGCACACAAGTCATAATTGAAATTACGGACCTACCCCCACTTCCGGAATCGGAATCTGACCCCTACATTAAAAAGTCCACTCCCGGTCATACTTCCTAAAATTATCCAAATTTCCAACTTTCGCCAAATGACGCCGAAATGACCTACGGACCTCCAAATCAACATCCGGACATGCTCCTAAGACCAAAATCACCATACGGAACTATTCTCAGGCTCGGAATCCCTAACGGACATCGATAACTTCAAAATCCACTTCAACTAGGAAATTCTTAAACTTTTAAAATATTAACTTTCCATAATAAGCGCTAAAATACTCCCGGGCCACCCGATACTTGACCCGAACATACGCCCAAGTCTGAAATCATCATACAAAACTATTGGAACCTTCAAATCACGATTCCGAGGCCATTTACTCAAAAGTCAAAGTTTGGTCAACTCTTCCAACTTAAAGCTTCCAAATTTAGAATTTTCTTTCCAACCAACTCCGAACTTCCCGAAATTAAATTCCGACCACGCGTACAAATCATAACACCTGAAGTGAAGCTACTCAAGGCCTCAAACCGCCGAACGACGCGCTAGAACTCAAAATGACCGATCGGGGCGTTACAATAACTTTATCAAAAAAAAGCCAAAAGCAGGTAACTGAGATAAACTCACATTCAACAAGCTATATTTTTGGACGGAATAGAATGAATTTCAAATATTTTAGTAGGTGCAAGATCTGATAGTTTTGGATTGTACAATTGATGATAGAATAGTGTGCAGCTATCTTATTTTACAAAGGATGTGCAAGTATCTAGTTAACCAGCGAAGCTTTTGTGATGAAGACATTACTACATACAGTTCTTGAGTTGCAGGATGAAACCTCTCATGTACTATATTTTAAGTATCGTCATCAAAATTATCTATAAAGAGTTATTAGAGTAATGGTAAAAAATTTAGCAATAACCTTAGAGAACATGCATCTGTTGAATTACACAAACACACACAAAAAATTAAGGGATCATTTGGTTTTCAACCAAGTTTTATAGATTATGTCTTTATAAGTGAAGATAATGTCCATATCAACTTATACGGACCTCAACTAATTCAACATGTAGCACCTAACAAAACATAAATCCTCATCAAAAGATCCTTTTGTACACACGTCTGTGTGCGAGATTCCCCCATCTTATCAATAAATCTTTACAACATTAAAAGTACTCACTGGCCAATGTCAACTCCATGCTAAAACCATTAAATAGAACAAAAAGAAGAGTAGAAAAGTTCTAGTGAAGAAAAATCTACCCCCTAAAAAAAAGGGAGGCCAGAAATTTTTTATAAGCATGTAGTCTCTTTAACAGGCTTTAGCAGCATACTGTTACCTTTAAGAATTGTCCTCTCCAAGCGCAAACCAGCAACATGACCACTTCTACAATCTGATTCCAGAAACCTGTCTGGTTTTCTGAAGAAGACAAAACTGCAGTTCTTTTTGACCTGGACTACATACAGAAGCTGCATAAGTGGCTGCCTTGGAGAGCAGTTCATGAATTCTTCTTTTAATCCAGTTACTCTTTAGTTCTTCCTTGCATACAAAACAAAAGAACAGAAGACTCAACTTGGGGGAGAGTTAAGCATAACAATAGTACACCGAAGCAATAGTGAATTTCCTTTTTTTCTTTTTTGATGTCTGAAGCAGTAGTGAAACTCTTGATAGCCAAATACAATGGTTGCTTGTGGTATGCTTTGTAACAACCTAGAAATGCATCAAAGAGAATAAAATGGTCAGAACATTGTAGTATGACAATTTCTACCAATAAATTTATATCCTCTCCTTTAAGAGCATAAATCTGTTGAAACAAAAAGAAATCCATAAATGTTGATGTAAATTCTTTTCAAGGGAATTATAGCACGTAAAAGAATATACATAATGACCATAATCCGAGAATCTAAACATACTTGTGTCTTCTCAGAAATTCAAGATATTTCAGCTAATATTCAACGGCTTCGCAAATGTTTTATATTGTGCCTTGTAGTACTCCTTCACCTTTAGACATACAAGATAGTAGGAAAGAACATAGCAGGGCTAACAATATTTTTTGAATAGACGTACACTCCACGATCCATTATTGTTAGGAAAAAAAATGGCACAAATGCAGAAGATAAGTAAGATAAAAGGCAACCAAAATAATTGGTAGAACATAAATTCATTATTGACCTTTGAGAGTTTTGTTCACAGATCTTTTTTCTATTCCCATTGACTTACTTTTAGTACCATTGATCCCTACCAAATTGACACTAAATAGCGAATGAACACAGGCATGTGCAGAATCACTTTAAAAAAGAGCCAAAGGCTCGAAAATTCTACAGTTGCCTTCAATAAATTTATTTTTTCTAATGGGGCCAGCGGTGATGGAGGAGGAAGGAGAAAAGGGCAAAATCTCTAGGACAATACCTCATTGTAGACCGCCTAGATCTCCTAAACGTCAGGACCTCTCAAAGAACGTCCTTTTGAAGTCATCTGGACAAAACCAACAAATTTGGCACCAAATATCCAAAACAAAGCATGCATAAGTAGAATCAGTTAAGGAAAGAGCTAAAGAAACAAGTAACTCTAGCATATGCGGCAAATGTAGTCTATGAAATTAGAAGAGGAAGAGGGAAAATCACCAAATCGTGAATACTTACCTGTTAGTCATAAATATATACAGTAGCGCTGAGCAAAACTCTTGAACTAAACTTGACAATTTCGAAAACAAAAAAATCAGAAGCGGGAAGAATATGATGTAAGAGAAGAGAGAGAGAGAGAGAGAGAGAGAGAGAGAGAGAGAGAGCTCGGTAAAAAATGGATTATTGGAACACATTCTATTTCTATGGATACGAAGAAAAGAAGAGTTAGAAAACACGTGTTGGTATCAAAATGACGATTTTATCCTTGGACGACCAAAAACCTTTACTTATTATATAGAGAACTTTACGTACCTTTTATAATTTAAAAGAAATATATGAAATCCAATATTACAGTTGTGGCAGAAAAATATTTATATTTGTATTACATAATTTCATTAAAATAGAAATATTAATTATTAATCTCTAAACATAAGCAATTTGAATGGAAAGTTAATAATTCTTGTAGAAATGGCGTGGTATAGCTACTTTTTTAAGTGGTATTTATTTTTTAGCCAGTATTTTTAATGTTGAGCAAAAATAGCCACTATTCTATTAAAATTGATTCAAGAGTGATGTGTAAATATTAAGGATATGGTGTCTTTAACTTCATGAGTGATGTATAAAATATTAAGGACAATATGTCCTTAACATTTACATTGCACACATGAAGTTAAGGGCACCATGTCCTTAACATTTACAATGCACATATGAAGTTAATGACATGATGTCCTAAAATTTAATAACATAAGTTGCAAATACAAGTTAATGATATTATGTCCTTAACATTTATATTACACACATGAAGTTAAGGACATCATATTCTTAACATTTACACTGCACATATGAAGTTAAGGACGCCATGTCCTTAATATTTATACATCACTCATGAAGTTAAGGACACCATATCCTTAACATTTACACTATACATATGAAGTTAATGACATGATGTCCTAAAGTTTAACAACAGAAGTTGCAAATACAAGTTAATGATATTATGTCCTTAACATTTACATTACACACATGAAGTCAAGGACACTATGTCCTTAACATTTACACTGTACATATGAAGTTAAGGACATGATGTCCTAAAGTTTAACAACAGAAGTTGCAAATACAAGTTAATGATATTATGTCCTTAACATTTACATTACACACATGAAGTCAAGGACACTATGTCCTTAACATTTACACTGTACATATGAAGTTAAGGACATGATGTCCTAAAGTTTATCAGCAGAAGGTGCAAATATAGGACACTTTGTCCTTAATATTTACACATCATTCATGAAGTTAAGAACACTATGTCCTTAACATTTATAATGAATACATAAAGTTAAGGACACCACGTCCTTAACATTTACACTTCACATATGAAGTTAAGGACATGATGTCCTAAAGTTTAACAACAGGAGGTGCAAATACAAATTAAGGACATTATGTATTTAACATTTACATTGCATACACGAAATTAAGGACATCATGTCTTTAATATTTACACTATACATATGAAGTTAAGGACATGATGTCCTAAAGTTTAACAACAGGAGGTGCAAATACAAATTAAGGACATTATGTATTTAACATTTACATTGCATACACGAAATTAAGGACATCATGTCTTTAATATTTACACTATACATATGAAGTTAAGGACATGATGTCCTAAAGTTTAGCAGCAGAAGGTGCAAATACATGACACTTTGTCCTAAATATTTATACAACATTCATGAAGTTAAGGACACCATGTCCTTAATATTTACACAACACCTATGTCTAGCACAGGGGTATTTTTGTCCGACGGGTAAAAATTTATTAAGCACTGGTTAAAGAGTAAATACATTTAAAACAGTGGATAAAAAGTAAAGACATCTCTAATCAATGACTATCTGTGCACTTCCCCCATAATTCTTTGTACAAAAATCATGCTTTTTTTTTCTCTTTATCTATTAGCTTTCTTTCTTTTTCTTCATCTTCTTAATTTTATTTTTTTCCGAATCCAATATAANAATATATTTTCTAAATTTGTTCCATTCGTTTTCCTTTTAATTATCTTTCTTAAGTTTTTCTCTTCCTTCTTTCTTCCTTTCTTAACATAAAGATCTTACTTCGATAATAATATATATTAATATATACAAAATGTATATNTAAGATGGCACTTCACAAATAAATATACAAAAATTATATACATAAAAATACATTTTGAATTAAAAGTGATACTTGATATACAAAGTATAAAAGACGTATAAATCAATACATCTGAATTTAGGTGGCATTCACATATGCATCAGATTTTTAAAAATGGAGTGAAAAAGATAAATATTGAGCTTAATTTTTATAATATGCTAATAATGAAAAAAATGCTCTTTATGGAATAAATAATAAATGATGCTATTTTTTTAAATAATAGTTAAAAAGGATCAAGTGCGTAAAAGAACTCTATTATATATTACTGGTTGTGAGGAGCACACTTGAGGAAAAGGTGTTATCTTAATTCATTTTAGTGATATCCTATGAATGGTGGAAAATTATTATATTCAAATACTTGAAGTTAAACTAAAATCAGTTTTAGTGTAGCACTCAAAATTGATCAAAATTAACAAGTTGTATTAGTCAAATCAAAGGATTACTACTGCAATTACTTCTACACGTCAAAAGTTAACAAGAAAAAATAACATTAATATCTAATAAAATCTACACTTTTACCACTTAATAACAGAACATAACTATGCAGAAGCCAGAAGAAAAAAGTTCACAACTCATCTTCTTCTTGATGGCTACCTGCTTTATTTTCCAACGCACTTTGACCTTCCAAATACCAATACTTTCCTTAACTCCCTCTTCATTACTTACATTTTTTCCTTCAATATCCACGACCAAAATAATTAAAGAAAAGATGAAAATGGCCATGTAAACACACAGCCTTCTTCAATATTGCTAAAACTTGTTAAACTAAAAATGTGACAAACTCATAATTTCAACCCAATTGCAATATTTTAACAATTGATTAAAATCAAAAGTTTTATTAGTCGGATCAAATGATTACTATTACAACTATCACGAATGAATTCACTTTTTTGGTCCCTTCTCTTCCCCTCCCGCCCCCTCCCCCCTTACTCCAAAGAACGGGAAAAAGTTGGATTCATCACCAAAAATTGATTGGATCTCTATTCACTCCTTCTCATGACAATAACAAATACAAACATCAATATTCCCGGTATATCTACATAATCTCTTTGCCTCTTTGATGGAGAAAAAATTTCTGCACAACATTACCTTTCAAGGTGACTAAGTAGGATACCTGCTAGAAATACTTATTGTTATAACATCAACAACATAATATAAGGTGCTTATGTAAAATATTGAACCAGATGCAAGATACTCACGATCTTTATAGCACTGACTTCGTGAAGTAGGAACCCAGTTACATTTTGCCTAAGAAAACCAAAAATGAAGAGAATATGTATACAATGGTAGTAAAAAGGGTAAACTTAGTCTCAAAAGTCTACTGAATATCAAGAGAAATACTCACATAGAGTAGGGCAAGTTCTGATTCACTTTAGTCAGCAAAGGTCCTTTATATCTGACAGTTCCAGTTTTGGATTTTGCAATAGGTCTTTTCTCAACATTATCAGCACAATCATGTCCACTTATATATGCATCCTAAATAGGAAAAAGCAAAACCAGAACAATATAGGTTAATTAAATTTCTTTTATAAACAAGAAATTCCCGATGGTCAGTGGCGCACGGCTCGAACCTCATTAGATAATGTTCGTATCCCTCTACCCTTTTCCCCTTAAAATCCGAGCTTTTATCTTCGGCAAGATTCGAACCCGTGGCGTACACCTAATGTACACCATGTGTTGCGTTCTTACTACAAAATCAAAGCCCTTGGGATATGTTTAGATTTTGTGGATATTGAGAAACAGATTTGCAGATGAAAATGGTATATGGTATTAGGTATTCCTTAGGTTCTTGGAGATATGGACTATTAGCATTAATACTTTGACTTACCACTCCATATTTCAGGAATACGCCATGTAAAGACTGTAATTTGTGTTTTAGTTCCGTTAGAGTAGTATCTTCTTCGCAACCTACCAATAGATGAATTCCGACAGCAATGCACCTACATTTACACGATATCACTTTAGTCACATACGGAGATCAGGTCACAAAATGCATTATCATATTTTCTCTTTGGATTAAAAATAATGCAGCTTGAAGTTACCATTTGCTTTCACTATTTTCAAGTGTGTCTTTCAGCAATTGTGATTGCCTATCTCCAACACCATTTGAAGTAACCTAGCAACAACAACAACATCAACAAGAAAAATAAAGTTAAAAGTTTACCGTAGAAAGCTCGACAACAAAAGGCTAACCAACTTCCCATCCTTGTTAAATATAGACATGATAAAAGCAGTTTTCTTGAAGATCCATTTTTATTTTCTCGAAAACCAAATTCCAATCCAACGGAAAAAAATGAAGCAAGACAAAGAATCAGCTGGGGGAGAGGCTGAAGCAGAATCCAGGCAGTGAGGTAGCTATGGTACACAATAGGTCAGAAGCCATTTCTGCACTCATAATTGTAGCAGTTTATAAATATCTTCATTCTTCTATATTTATCCATTTCGCAAATTCACATTAATGTTCAGCGTTGACTAAAAAGTTAAAATCTCCGAATTTGAATATGAGAGAATTTCTGGCTGTATGTATAATGCCAAGTGAAAATATAAAAGCCAAATAACGTCAAAGAAGACAGTCGAAAGTGCTTATAGAACCCTACTAACTTCCATAGTAGGAGGCATCACAACCCTTATTTTCATCCGAAATTACTTATAACATTATCAAATCTAACACAATCCAAAATTTGGCAAAGTTAATATGACTATCAAATATGAGGCGAGCTAAGATTTCAGAAGTTATCTGATATATTGGTGTTGAAACTCTTAACTGTTGTATTGAAAGTATTATTCAATAACCTTATATTGGTTTGACGGATAAGCGACAAAGAAGTTGAAAGTGCATATTATTCAGATGACAAGGAATCGCATTTGCAAATACTATCAGTTAGTGGAAACCTTATGTATGTTCAATAATGCAATCAATTAGTGGTCGAGTAAAGATACCAAAGCAATAAAATAGAAAGGAAAAATGCAGCTCATTTATAATTCTCAGAGACACCAATAATGCTAACAGGCACAGAAAGCCAATTAAATAGATAAAACAAACAAGCGGTTTACCTCATACAATCATGTATGCACAACTATAATATCTAAGCTTCCATAAGCAAAGTTGAATTGTTTAAAGTAGTGATTCACCCCTCGTCCTTTGAGAGCTCGAATAGAGTACCTACAAGTTGAGAATGGATGAAGGGAGACCGCAAAGACAATTCATTTCAAATGATGAAATCCAGATCTAAAAGGGGAAAAGTTAGTCCAAGAGAACAAACTGTTTATTCATAGAGGAGCATACCATAGAATCTTCGTAGAACTAAAATGCCGATTAGCCTGCCAAGGAAGGGGTCAGTGGAGGTGTAAGATTATCATTTCGTCAAATTGTAATTGGCAATTTAAGATGGATACCTTTTTGTCAGATAAAGTTATGAACATGTATTTCTGCAGTAAGTTCACAAGCCAAACATCTTTTGCACAATAAGAGAAGTTAACAAGACATGTCTCCTAATATAAGTTCTTGCATAGTTGAACAACTTGGTTCACCAAAAGCTACATTTCATCTTCTAATACTTTCTATCTTGCTTATAATATTTTCCATTTGCACTTTGAGAACCAAAGTTTAGAATGCTCTAAGCCAAAATGAAGGTACAAATATACAAGCGCATCATATAAGTGAATGCAATATCATATCCAATCAGTAAAAGACCAAAAAAATAATTCTTGTATGCATGTCTTATTCATTTGCCAAATAAATTGCATTTTCAAGCTGGTTCACACAATCTGGAGACAAACTTTAAAGCAACAATTTTGGAAGAAGAACACCTTATGATTAAGCAAACTTTGAAGCTGCCAGAACTAATGAGTACTCGTGCTGGTCAACCCTCCTCGTGTTATTCAGTGGTTTTCGACATCCTTGATGGATCCTGCTGTCCAATTTCACTCGACTTGATGAGGAACCCTGTGATAGTAGCATCAGGCCATATTTATGATCGGAATTCAATTGCTCAGTGGATAAATTCAAGGCACCACACTTGTCCAAAAAGTGGTCAGAGGCTGATACATGTGGCTCTCATTCCCAACTATGCACTGAAAAGTCTAATCCATCAATGGTGCCAAGAGAACAACATCCCAACAACATAACCTACATTATATTCTTCAGATTCAGAAAGTAGCAGCAGCAGTAAGATTAAGAAATGTGACAAGGCGATTGACTACATTTCTGCTACTAAAGCTGCCACATATGCTGTGAAAATGACAGCAGAGTTTTTAGTTAGAAAACTGGCAACAGGATCTCCAGATATACAGAGACAGGCAACATATGAGCTAAGATTGCTCGCGAAAACTGGAATGGACAATCGCAGAATCATAGTTGAGTCTAGAGCTATTCCATTTCTGGTGACTATGCTTGGTTCCCGTGATACAAGAATCCGGGAGAATGCAGTCACAACATTGCTCAACCTTTCAATACATGAGAATAACAAGATCCTCATTATGTCTGCTGGTGTTATCGACAACTTAATTGAAGTTCTCCAATGTGTGAAAATAATGGAAGCAAGAGAAAATGCAACAACATCAATATTCAGCTTGTCTGTAATCGACGAATACAAAGTAATCATAGGGGCACATACAAGTATCTCCTTGCAAACTATTCTTCTTTTTCGGTCTCATTGTTAATTTTGTAAGCACATATGAGCATATTAGGAGCTGATAAATCTGCTGCTACGATCACGTCATCTAATGCAGTTACACGACCATACCAATCTTCTGTATTCTAAAAGGTAAATTTCTTTCTTCGCAATGACCTAACCAATCTGTCATGTGATAATAATCTTCCTCCAGGTAACATATATCCCAACGCTAAACCGAAATTAAATAAAATAAATTATCGTAGCCTACACAAAGAAAACTCGACCTCTTCAAAATTTCAGCAGCCAGAGTCTCAAATCTTTCCAACCTCACCAACTCCCAATTCATTTCCTGCCACCCCCTTTAAGTCAGCATCCATCTCCAACAATTCCGCGACATAGAGTCTCTTCCCCTTTTTCGATGTGCCTGTCTTTTTTCTCTTTACTTCTCCTCGTTTATCCAATTTCCTAAACCTTAATCCAAATAAAACTCCAGAGAACCCAATAAAAATAAGTCAAGCAATTGGTTATCGCTTTTTAAATATTAAAACCAAAAAAATGCACCTCATCCTGAATTCATTTATAGTATCGAATTGCCATGAATCCTATGTCAGCTTTAACTAACAACTTAATTCATATATATAGTTCGTTATATGTCAGTTAATAAGCCAATTAGATCCATAAGATTTAACAAGATGAAACAGAAAGCTAACTGAAAGAACCAAGTCAAACTTGTCATCAAAGTAGCACACAACAACGTATATGACATTCCGACAAAAGCAAGTCTCGCCTCTCAACAGAACTCGTAATTTTACGTTTCAGCAGCGCCATCACGGGGAACAACAGGAGTAAGAGAAATAAATCACCCAGCAACCATAAAAAGAAAATCGAATTGCGCAAAGCAGAGTGAGGAAGAGGATGAGCAGACAAACAGTGAGTCCAACTTCGTTGGCAGCCACGTTTTACAAGACCTACACTCTTCGCTCTTTGAAGATACATATCCAGCACTGACTCCAATCCTATGAGAATGAACTCAACCCAAATTACATAGCTTTAATTCCAAACCTAAAAGGAAAAACAAAGAAGGAATGACAGACACATGGGAAGATTCAAGAATTGCATACCACATGTTTGACAAAGCAAAGTACACCCCAACACCTGATAGACGCGGCAAATAGCCAATCACAAATGGTCATCTTCTCCAGTCTTGCTTTGTTGCGAAGAGTTATAGTGGAAGCAACTTCGTCTTGGGTTCAAATCAACCAGACCTCTCGAATACCAAAAGAAACCCAGGAACAAAATCAACAGCCTATAATATGCAGCTTTAATTCCAAACTTAGGGAGAAAACGAAGTGGAATAGAGAGATCTATACCCAAAGAATCTAAAGAGAGACAGAGGAGAGAGAGAGAGAGAGAGCGCACGGGGTGAGATGAGAAACTGAAGACCGTCCTGGCGCTTACGTGTTGAACAAAAGGGATGTACACCACAACAACTTTAAGCCACTTAGAGGGTAAATTTCCGAAAATAACCCTGAAGCATGGATGAAAAATTCCAAAAATAACCCCGAAGCAGGACGACGAAGAGCAGCTCAACTCCCCCTTCTAAATAAGTAGAAAATAATTATAATACTAGTGTAGAATGGTGGGGAAAATGCACATTTAGCCACTAATAAGACATATATTTACTTTTAAGTCACAGTTTAAAATGTCTTTAGTCTTTAGCAACTGCTTTAATAAACTCTACCCGTCCGGACGCAAATAACCTTCTGCTCATAAAGTTCAGGACCAAGTGTCCTTAACTTATGAACTTGTTACTGTAAGTTCAGGATTAATTGTCCTTAATTTATGAACTTGTAAGTCTAAGTTTAGGACTACTCGTCCTTAACTTTTTAACTTGTAACTCTAAGTTCGTACATGTCCTTAACTTTTGAACTTGGAACTCGAAGTTCAGGACTACCTGTCCTTAATTTATGTGCTTGTAACTCTAAGTTAAGAACTATTTGTCCTTAATTTCTGTGCTTGTAACTCTAAGTTAAGAACTATTTGTCCTTAATTTCTGTGCTTGTAACTCTAAGTTAAGGACCAAGTATCCTTAATTTTTGAACTTTCAACTCTAAGTTCAGAACCAAGTGTCCTTAACTTATGAGTTTGTTACTGCAAGTTCAGGACTAACTGTCCTTAATTTATGAGCTTGTAAGTCTAAGTTAAGGACTACTTGTCCTTAGTTTTTGAACTTGTAACTCTAAGTTTAGGACTACATGTCCTTAACTTTTGAATTTGTAACTCTAAGTTCAGGACTACATGTCCTTAACTTTTGAACTTGGAACTCGAAGTTTAGGACTACATGTCCTTAATTTCTGTACTTGTAACTCTAAGTTAAGGACCAAGTATCCTTAATTTTTGAACTTCCAACTCTAAGTTCTGGATCAATTGTCCTTGACACATCTAACTCCGTAATCTGAATTTGTACCTCCAAATTCCAATAGTATAAGTTTCTCGGAATACTCTTATGGAGAAGCCACATGTTATGTTGATAGCGAACCATTTTTTTATCATCACCGGTATAAATACTGTATTTCCGTTTGGGAAGGAAAAGAGATAGAGGAAAGGGCAACACCGTCTTTTCATATTAATTTTAATAAACTAGTGGCTACTTTTGTTCAGGATTAAAAATGCTGGATAAAAAGTAAATACCACTTTAAAAAGTGGCTACCCAACACAATTTTTACGAGAATGGCCTATGCTGAGCCCAGGCCCAAACTCATAGGAATAATATTTTATAAAAAGAATGGATAAATTTCTAGGGTCAATTGATTTTTTGGCCTTTTACAAACATGTTTTTAGTTTTATGATCCTACCTCTTTTTTTACACAGGGGAGATTTACTTTTACACGTAAGAGATCTTTCTTTTACACGTGAGAAATCTAAAAAAGACATTTTCTTAAATTTAATATTGTAAAAGGCCTTGTAGGCCTAAAACCTCTATAAATTTCTATGAGATATATCAGTTTATTGTTATTTGATATATAATTTGAGAAGCTCAATTCGCGAGGGATGAAAAGAAAGTAACATAGCTATAACTTTGAATAATCCTTTGGATCCCATGTCTGTAATGGGAAAGGCAGTGACATTTTCTATTTATTTATAAAAAAATAACTTTGTTTCTATTTAATCTGATTAGTCAAACGCTTAGAAACTTCGGTAGAGAGCAGAATAAAGAAAATAAATTCAAGCCAAAAAGATCATATTTACTGCTAGTCTTTGGTTGTCGTATTTCTTGTTGGAAGAACAAGTTAATTTTGCTGAACTTTAATATAAGTTACAATAGTAATATCCCAACAATGTCTTTACTACCATCCCTCACATCAAGGCGTTGAAGTATCAAGCAACGTCATTCAGTCTCTCTTATGATTAGAAGACTTTTTTTAAAAAAAATGAGGCTTAGCATGCTCTTCTAAAGAATACTACATTTTGCTAAATATACCGCAGTGAATCATGCAATTTACTGAAGGATTCTATAGAGGTATTTACACTATATAAACTCAGAAACCGCTCAATGTAGGGGAGTGAAAATCCGATAATAAAACCATCTCAAATGGTGTTATAGATTTAAGAAGTGGTAAGTCACAATTGTTAGAAATGGGATGTATATCTAAGTTATATCAGTCAAGTATCAATTTTTATGTTGAAGTAGCATGTTTCTTAATGTACAGTTGATTTATGAACTCTAGACAAATGATGGGTGAAGAGCTTTCTGGTCTGAGCGTCAAAGATTTACAGAACTTGTAGAACCAACTGGAAATGAGTCTCTGTGGTGTTCGTGTGAGAAAGGTATGAAACTTCTGTTAGTCCCGCCAATATTGCTGTATTCGTAAATAATAATTCTACAAAATATAAGTATCGTAATGAAACAGTAATTAATTCGAGCCCACTGAATTCACAGTGTTTCCTTAAGGAATTTAATCCCCTCCTAGTACCCAAGGTAATGGATTATTTCCTCCCAGGATAGAACGAATCACACACTGGTGTAGCGGTACTTCAAACCCCAGTGTTTCAGCGAACACAAAGTTCGGTAGCAAATCACACTTACAGTTGCTTTGTTTGAAGTTAAAAACAATGCAGAATGAAAGGAGTAGAAACTCAGAAAATCATATGGAAATGCTGAGAGGAAGGAGTGCAATGTATAGCCAAATCTGTTGAGCGTTTTCAGATTTTGTCTTGTGAATTATGTGTCTTTCTTCAACAGTTGCTGCACATATATATAGCAGCCAGTGTTGAAGAAGAACAATCGTCCACCCTCCATGGTGTTTGTGAAGCAAGCATTAGCTTGTTTGTGGAGCAAGCACATTCATGGTGGGAAGAGCATTAGGCGGCTGC